TCGTAAAGCTGGCATGAATTTTTCCGCTCTCAGCGGGTTTTATCGCGGCATTTTCTAAACGGAAGGGACGAGCCCGCAGCGGGGAAATAAAAACGTCTCCGTACTTTTTACAGTTTCGGGCAAAGATCGTCGCGGCGTGGCGTGGTGAAGCGAGGTGAGCCGAGGTGAGGCGAGGTGAGGCGAGGCGAGGCGAGGCGAGGCGAGGCGAGGCGAGGCGAGCCGACGGTAAAATGCGAATAGCTACTCTCGTGACGTAGGAATTTTCCTCCGCGGGAGGAAGGTGAGGGCGGGGATCGGTTGCATCCGTCAAAGGGAAGCGCGAAAATCTCGTATAGCAGTCCCGTGCTCGGTCGCGTGCTGGGGAAACGAAAACGGCATCGTGAGGAAATGTCACGGGGCGAGGGGGAGAAGGGTCACCGAGTCGAGCGAATGCGCCGGGAAGTGAGAAAGTAGACGTCGGCGGCGGCAACGGCAGTGGCGGCTACGTCGGAGTCGGCGGTCCGATGGTGGGGGCGGCGGCATCCGTTCCGGTGGCCGGCGCGGGCCGGTCGCCACACCCGCCCGTTTGGGAATTCAGCTTTGGCAGTTTTAACGGCGCTCTCTCCTCTCTCCCTCTCGTCCCCCAATACCTCCTCCCCATAACCATTTTCACCCGACCGCCAATCGTCCCCTCCGCTTTCGACGCTCGCTTTCCTCTCGGCTCAACCGGGCCACAGTCTCTATCGCGCGAGTTATTGTTTCTGGGGCATTAAAAATCGTTTCTGCGGCCCCCGTCGAGGCGTTAGAGTTCGGATGAATTTTAATTCGATCCACTGGACATTCGTACAGCCCACTTTGATTAGCTCGTGACTAATTTATGGGCCGTTTGTCAGCTCCTTTGGCGTCCTCTATTACAAACTTGAAGTTATTAATGAAATATACTTTTGTTCTAAATCAACAAAACTCTTTTGTTCATTTTGATAATGGAACACGGCTATAGTTGGAATTGCAGTGACGGGGACAAGTTTTTAAAAAGCGACTGTAAAAGAGGATACGGTGCCATTGATGGCGCTTGCCCATAACGACTAAATTTTTTTATTATACCTTCCGTAATGAAAGCTGAAAATCGAAAATCAATATCCATTGTCGGAATGAAATGTTGGCATCGCGAGAGTACTTTGTCATTACTTATATCGGTGGCTCAATCGACCGTAGATCAGCGACATTTCAGGAGCAGCAGCAGCAGTAGCAGCGTGAGTGAGTGAGTAGAATTTGCGGGCGTCGGGCTCCGTAGTCGCGGCTGAGTCACGCCACTTTCTTATAAAACTGCCGCGTAATTTAATTCCGAGCGACCCTGTTTTTTGGAGGGTGAATTTCAAGAAGCGTAGCATCCTTGGGTCTTTATCCGGGAATGGGCCGAGTCAGTGCTCGGAGACGGCAGGCAGTCCGTCGTGGGTCGAGAGCGTTAGGGAGCTGGAGGGAAGAAAGTTGCTGACGATTTGGTAAAACGAGCGAGAGCCGATCGGTGGTATTGGTGGTGGTGGTGGTGGTGGTGCTGGTGGTGGTAGTGTCGGTAGTGGCGGTAGTGGTGGTAGCGGTGGTGGTGGTGGTGGTGGTGGTAGTAGTGGTGGCGGTGGTGGTGGCGTCAGCTGTGAAGAGGCGCGTCGGTGGCGTCATATGTGCGGCCGCTTGTAAACGGGGGACGGGGGCTCACCTCGTATTCAATTAGCGATCGGTCCCGCGCGCATACCCGGTGCGTGACTCCGGGGGCTGCGTGGCAACGTGACGGCTTGGCAGTGGCACAGCCCTTTTGCACGAACGGGAGAATTAGGGGCCGTGGTGGGCTTGGAAGCGGTGGCGCAATGTCGCCACAGCACATTGATTCCGAACAATGAGGGCTTATTTTATTCAGCGGCTCTCCTCGAGAGTCCGCGCCCCGCTCGATGCGTGGCTAGGGGTGCGCGGGCACCGAATACCCAACTAACGATACGTATCGAGAGCGATCGGGGGCTATAATCTGCGAGTCCCCGCGGTTATAATCGTGCGCGGGGTTGGTAAAAGGGGTTCGTTCTAACTATACCCTGGCACGTGTGTGTACGTGCGCGCGTGTGGATAAAGTACAAAGTACGGCCTGCTGTGCTGTCTTGAATGTGCTTGCGTCGAGCCTTATGGGAGGGTGATACCGATGGCACACCTACGTCATTAGACCGATGACTCTCTCACTCTCACGACTCTCTCTCTCTCTCTCTCTCTCTCTCTCTCTCTCTCTCTCTCTCTCTCTATCTATCTATCTATCTATATATCTATCTATCTCTATCTATCTCTATCTATCTCTCTCTATCTCTCTCTTTCTCTCTTTCTCCGCATTAGAACCCCTGAATCCTTACCCCATACCCTTTTGTCTTTCCCCCTGCATATTATTCCGCATGCAGGCACTCCGTCACTTTACACACCCCCGCGCGTTGTTAACGCTCTTATTGCCGCTCGATTGTTATAGATTCTCTAAGCTATTCTCCTCTCACTGCCTTATTTTTATACTTTCTGACGCTTCCATTCTTTATGTCTGTTAGTATCCCAATCTCTCTCTCTCTCTCTCTCTCTCTGTTTCTTTCTCTGGAGCTATCTCCTCTTTTCACTACCTCCACTCCCACTCTACCCCATTCCTCTGTCAATCTTTCTCACTTATATTAGACCAATTATTTTCGCCGATTATCCCGTATTATTTCTCGTAATTAGATAACCGATAAATATCAAAATTTCCTTTTCACACGGAGAAAGTTGAGTCTTTCCAATGTCTACGATATACTTGTCGAGTTGTCATTTAATTGCTTTATTTTGATAACTATTGAATTCTTTCTGAACTAGTATCGAATTAAAATTTTTCATCAGATTACAATCTATCATATTGTCCAAACACAATTATCCAAGATTCGATTAATGAATTATTTCGAACGAAAGAAAGAGTGAAGGAATGAATAAATGAATGAATGGATGAATGAAAGAATGCGTGAATGAATGAAAGATAGGAAGAAAGAAAGAACGAAAGAAAAAACGAAAGAAAGAAAGAAAGAAAGAAAAAAGACAGAAAGCAAGAAAAGAATAGAGGGCATCGCAATTTTAACGTACTATGGATTAAAATAAAATGATCGACAAATAGACAAGAGTAGAGGGCAAAGAAAACAAACTGTTCCACCTTAAAAATGAAAATATATTTATGGCGATAGTCATTCTTTCGATTTCCTATTTCTGATGTTAAAATTAAATCACACCTTCTGAAGTTTGAGGTGGGACTTGGAGAGAGTTGGGTGAGTGGGTGGCCGGGATGGGGGCGGGGGGGGTGGAAAGGAATGAATTTTCGTGGGGCTAGGCCAGAAAATTCCGCCGCATAAGACTTCCAATGGCGTAACTCTATGCGAGGGAGTAATGTTAACGCGGTATCATTGTTTTATGTTAACAGGAGCAAGTGGAAGGGAGCATGACAGACAGTGGTGAGGCACTGAGAGGGAAAAGTGCTACAACGACAGCCAGGATCTCGAAGCGCGTCAATTGAGGAGACAGTGACAAATTGAGGCGATTGTTGGGACTGTTACGATAAGTTGTCAGTGTCCTTAGCAGTGCAAGTTGTAATGGCGACCGCGACAATGGGACTTCGTCGACGAGTGCAGGTCGGAAGCTCGACGAGCGTCGGCCAGTCGAGCGGCGGCAAGCGTTCGCGGTCCGAAAACAACAACAGCCCCTCTCAGGGGAATCTCAATGCTCCGGTCTCGGAGCCCGCCTCCAAGAAATCTCGGGGTCCGTCGTCGAGCGCGGGAGCGAGGACCGCAGCGGCCAAGGCCAAGGAACTCGAGCTCGCGAAGAAGGCTTCGATGGTGACGCCGGGGCCGCCTCACTGGTCGGATCCACGACCCTACGCCTCGATCGCGGGTCTCTCGCTTCAGGCCCAAGCGGCCCTCTGCCCGGAGGCCGTGGGTCTGCCCTCGCCAATGTCCTATATGTCGACATCGATGGCGACCTTCGTCGGGACAGCGACGAATCTCGGGAAGAGCCCCTCGGTCTCCTACCTCGACATCTCCAATATGACCGCCCGGCCTCCGGGATGGCCGGCCGACGATCCCAATGGCTCGATGGGTCTGGCGTTCGCGGCCGGGGCCCTCGCGAGCTCCGGTGCCTTCGGGGCCGGGCATAAAGTCAAGGAGTCCGGCACTCAGCCAAGCCATTTGAACCTGACCGAGGGTCAGCCCGCTAAGCTTGCCCAGGTCAGCCTACCGAAAAACTTTCCCAACGACTCCATGTTCGGCGCTTATCAGCCCTGGGTCATCAAGACTTACGGCGACCTCGCCAAGACCAAGACCATCACGATAAGGAAGTACGCGCGAATATTGCGCACGCTGCGTGGCGAGGAAGTCAACAGCGCGGAGAACAGCAAGTTCCGCTTCTGGGTGAAGAGCAAAGGATTTCATATCGGGCAGCCGGACGGCTACGAGCCAAAGCCCGCCGACAGGATCATCGGCCGCCACGCCGTGACTAATCCGGGACTGGATCCGCCGCTTTACGTGCCCACGCAGCCGCCCCACAACAAGGTGAGTGCCGACGTCCTTTGTAGCTCTCGACAGCTGTCCTTCCGCCGCCGCTGCCGCCGCGGCCACACCGCTGCCACACCGCTGGCCCGCTAATAGTTTCTTCTACCGTCTCGGATTATCGATTTCCTTTCCTTGCCGCAATTCATTATTATTCTCCCTCTCGAGGCTGGCTCCTGCCTCCTTTTTTCGGCCCTGCCGCTAGCCTTCCAGAAATTGCTTTCGGCACTCGACAATTCGCCCTAAATCACGACTATCAAGGTGCTTGATCCCATCAAATGCGAGCTGGACTCTAATGAAATATGTGTGGAATCGGTGGGAGAGAAAAATCGTAAAAGCAGTGTGACGCTCCTTCTCTCTCTCTCTCTCTCTATATATATATATATATATATATATATATATACATGAGTGACGGATTCACCACGCGTCTTTTACAACGCACCTTTTTCCACTAATCTTAAGTACTCCCACCCTCTCTTATCATCAACGGCTCATCGTTATTTCATTGTTCATAGCACAGATAATTCGGTAAGAGCTCTCTCTTTCTATTTTTCAATGTTTTTTTTGCCTTTTTTTTCCCTTCTTTTTCCTTTTATTTTCCAGCAATTCGATACAACTATGTAATGTGATACCTTCCTTGAAAAACTTATCTTCCACGGTAAACAATAGCCTTACACGTTTGTCTCTTTGTTTATTGGCAAATGCGAGTCTGTTGCATAATTTACACTTTTCGATTATAATAAGGGCAATTGAAGGTATGTAGACATTATAATTGGGGGATGGGCGATGGTCGGAGAGAGAGAGAGAGAGAGAAAGAGAGCGATCGTTTGGAATTTGGAATAAAAATGGGCTTAGAATGGCAATCATTTATTCATTAGAGAGAGGAAAGGGAGACTGCCTGCATACTTGGGAAACGTCGATCATTTTGTTTGCGATTGAAGTTACGGAGAGAGGACCGACGGTGACAAGGCCGTTTTATTACACATTCTGCATTAGCGTGGATGCAATAACGAGGTGGGCATAATTTTCAATTTTTTCATCTCTTTCTGAAGAGTGCGGGTGGCCGCAATGAGAGGTGGGGTTTGAGAGCGAGGGCGAAGGGTAAAATATCAGGCTAGCGTTTGGAGAATCTGGCTTGGGTGGGATCGATGGCGCCCGTTCGCTGAGTGGATCAGTGAATGGCCGACCGGACAGCGAGCGGCTCTCGTTCTTGCTGGTGACGAAATTCCCATCGACGGCTATTTCGCAAAAATCGATGCGCGGTCACTTTTGTGCGACGGGGCTGCGTCTCTCTCTCTCTCTCTCTCTCTCTCTCTCTCTCTGTCTCTCTCTCGCACTCCCGACCATCCTCCTCCTCCTCATTCTTTATCTCACTCGCACGTTTTATTATGCGTCGCTGAGCGCTCTTAGCGCGCTTCAAAAGGGCCGTAGAATCGGGCGCCGCTGCGCGTTGAATTAATCAGGTCTGCCGTCACTGCCGCTACCGCCGCCACCGCCGCAGACTGCATCAACGGCTGCGTCTGCAATTCGCTGGGATCCCACCACCTTTTCACTGCTTACAGCTCGTTCCATCTTACCACTTGGAAAGGTGCCGGACTGGAGCTCGTGACCACGCGCGGATAAGGCACTCGCTTCATTACGTCTAATTATACTCGAATGTTCGAGCGGCTGTGGAGAGTATTGTGACGGTGGGACGTGCCATTCTTACATGCGAACTTGGCCTCGTGCCTCATGCGTCATTTCATTCAAAATTATTATCATCTCAGACAGCTCGATGAAGCGTTTAACTCGAAATCCGCTGTTCTCCCTCTCCCAAACGTACCTTCGTTGCGCAAAACTCTGAAATTATTCACGAAATCACGGTCGGCAAAAAAAGAAACGCCTACCCCCCCCCCCCCCCCCCCCCCCCCCTCTCCCGCACTATGCCGGACTTTAGCAACTAAATTTTACATTTCATTTGCTTTCTTTAACCATACGAGATTTCATCAATAACGCGAGCGTACTCTTCTTTTTTCATTTCTTCATTCACTTATTTTTTTTCTTCTTTTACGGACTGCGCAAATGATCGCAGCATTTGTAAGCCATATATAAGCAAATAACGCCTCGGCAGGTGTCTTATTTCAACCTCCGATCATATTAAGAATTGGTCTTAAAGCATCGATTACCAAATTCTAAGAATATTTATTGAAAAAATGTGCGCTGATGGTGCGACTAACTGCAATTAAAATAAAACAAAAACAAGAACAGGAACGTAAAAAACGTTAAGGAAATCCAATAGAAAACAAAATCACAGAAGAATACCCATGATTTTTCATTTAGAGTAGAAGCTCTGTTTACAAAAGGAGTTATCTATCACTGATTAAAGCCATTTCGTGGACGCTATAATGATGCGTTTGCAATTACCAATTATAATGCCTTATCGTGCCGGAAAGCCTTTACACCGACCAACTCGATATTATTGTACGTTGCGGATCCTATAATGATTACTTATGCTAGCGAATAAAACGTGGATTTGTAATATATTTTAAAATGCAGTGGCAATGCGTGTGGTCGATTGGAGAAATCCAAAGATTGAACAGCGAGTCGGAACATTAATTGCAGTCGAGGAAAATTCTTTCGACAATTTCATCGGTGTCACACAATGCAAAAAAGTCTCTCGCGTAAAAGGAAGGCAGGTTTGCTTTGGCTCCATCGGAGCTGATAAAAAGCTTCGAGGATGATGGCGCAGAAGCGGGAGACTAAGATATATATATATATATATATATATATATATAGAGAGAGAGAGAGAGAGAGAGAGAGAGAGAGAGATAGCTGGGACCGATTAGGAGAAATCTCTAACACGTAAAATATGAAAATATGACGGTAATGGTGGGCATAATTTGAGAGAATAACGCGGGTTTCTCGTCCGGACGACCGAACCCGATGAAAATTGCCGATCTGCGGAGGATCTGGGCTCTCCTTATTAGCGCAAAGAAGCAAGGGGGAAGGAGATAAAGAGCGGCATTGGGTTGCGCGGAGGTGCGGAGCTTGGGAGCGGCTCGTAGTCATTTTTCACGGTTGACTGTCGGCGGGCTGGCGGCCGAGTGGTAGGAGGCGGCGGAGGACGTCAGGGGGAGGGGGTATGGAGTGAGATAGGAAGGGGCCAATGCGCGAGATAAGAACGAAGCGGCTCGGCTCGACTCCCAAGCCACGGGCCGCGGCACGAGGGACGGGGGCAGAGGCCGGCGGGTCTACGGAGGCGGGCTGGAGAGGGACGAAGGGGGCTGTTGCTGCTCCCCGGGCCGGCCGGTCATTAGTCACTTTCCGAAGCAGCGGCACAGCAGAGCCACAGACAGGCCAACTCGGCCCTACTCGTAAAGAGCTTCGCTTATGCGGACCCCGCATACAAGCGCTCTCGCACTCACGCACACACGAGCGCGACCGTGCGTTCTTGTATATATACAGTTGCTTCTTTCATGCTTACATATATATATATATATATATATATATATATATATATATTGTGTGTGTGTACGCACACGCGTATACACATATGCACATGCGTATATATAGCTACGCGTCCCTGGAGTTCGTCACGCGTGTGGGTATATGTTGACGTGGACCTCGATTCGCTATTCTCTCCTTTTTCCAACCTTCTCTTTTTCTCTCTCGCCTCGTCATATAGCGGTGCGGCGCCTTCACGGCGTCCCATCCTTTGCGTCGCGCAATTCTCGAGATGGAGTCAGCCAACTCTCTTCTCCTCGCCCTCCGTCGTCGCTGCCGCCGACGATGCCGCCGCCGTCGCCGTCGCTGTCTCTACCTCCTCCTCCTCCGCCTTCTTTACCTCCTTCTCTTGCTTCACCTCTTCCTCTTCTGTCTCCTCCTCCACCTCTTTATACCCGCAGAGAGAAATTCCGAGAGCGCAACTCTCGCTGCTTCGCTGTGTTTATCTCCTTCCGCTCCTTCGAACCCTACTTCGTCGCTCATCGGGCCTCTTTCTTTATTATCCCATTCTCCCGCTCGCTCCGTCCGTCTGCCACCGCCTGCCTCGCACTTATCCAACTTTTACCATTGACGTCTTTTCTACTTTTTCGAGCCTCTCGCTTCCGTCCCCTCTCACCCCCACCAACCCGCGCTCCTCATCGCCCTCGACCGTTCCCCCACCCCCGCGTCCCGCCCTGCCCCCAACCCCCTTCGTCCAACGCCAGTTACCCCTCAAACTGTCCAGTCCGCCAAGTTCCTCTGTCCCCTTAGCCCCACCCCGCTCCTTACCGACGGTCGTCACCAGGCCTCCGTGTCGACACGGCGCTAAGCCTCGTCGTTCGCTGGCACTCACACTCGGATCGGAGGCGCGCGCCCGCACCGCCTGTCTTCATTGAGAGAGGGAAGCGGCCGACGGCTGCCAACACGGAGAAGGTCGCCGGGAACTTGTCATTGATCGCCGACGTCCCGGAGCCGCTAAAGGTCCCGTACAAGTACGGCGGCTGCTCCCTACGCTCCCCCTTCCGCCACATTTTTACACGCAAGAGCGGAGCCGAGTGCCTCGCGCTAATGAGCGCCGGCCTTTTCGCGATTTCGCCGGCCCCCACCGTTTGCGAAAGTCCCCGACCGCACGCCGCACGCCGCATTTTAATCGGCTTACGCGGATCGCCGACGCCCGGGGGCCGGGGTTCCTTTGTTTTCTTGGGCGGGTGTGCGCTTACGGCCCTGTGCATTTGGCGCCGCCAACGCTCGCCTCGTTCCTCTAGTAAATTTACGCAAGCGGGGCCTCGGAACAACAGGAATTCAAGCCGAGCCCGAGCTTCTTCGTCATTCCTTGCTGTTTCTGCTGCCCACGCGCCCTTCTGGCTGGGAGCATCCGGTTCCGAGTTTTCCGGCTTTCTCCGCGACGTTCGATCGCCACGACGAGCATTGTCGTACGTTTATACTTTTACCATCAATTCTTTGATAATCCATTGAAACGAGGAAATCGCAACGGTCACTGCATTTATGTCATCGGGACATCGACTTCGATTAGCCAAAAT